TTGGAGTTTTGAAAAGTTACTCGTGTTAGCAGAATTCCAACATTGTTATTATTAGATTCAGAGGAAAAAATTGAAAAGGCTTATACCGAACATCACATAAGAAAAATATTTTGAGAAATTACATTTTTATAAATCGAAAACGCTAACGAAATAGATCTCATTTTTTAATAAAATTTTTTCTTTCTAATCCTACTAAATTTTATTTATATTTACAAATTGTTATAGACTATATCCTTTGAATACCTTGTAAGTAGTAAACATTTGACTAGGTACAATATATTCATTAATAAAATGTAATAAATGTGTGTTATAACTGAAGAATGCAACAAACGTAGAATCTTTTAATTTCAACGGAAAACTACCGGATGGTTATTGACACGTTATTTAAACTTATTCAATGCCTGTAAGTTTACAACATTCTTTTTTAAATGTTACGTATATAAATAATTGACTTTCAATTAGTCGAAAAAGCGTCAAGCACAATGCTATTAATGGTTAATACACACTTGCAAATGGAATGTACGTACCTAAAGTTGCTTTGCTCTAAAAATTCCTGTCGCGGAAGATTAATGAACTCGCTCGAAGGTGAATTGTAAAATTTCAGTGATTTATTTGTTTGTTCCAAAAAAAGGAAAGAAAGAACGAGTAGAAGGAACAAGAGGGAAAGATGATGTATGGTACAAAGTAAAGTAATACTGAGACTAAAGCATGATACAATTGTTTGCGTAGTAAAAAAAAAAGAATATAATACAAAAATCTAAAGGAATAAAAATGTAGCAGAAGCGTATCACGTTATTAACATTCAATTATTACTACTTTCAATCATCTAATACCAGAAACTGTATAAAACATAAATGCGTTGACAATAGTAACTTCAGAATTTCAACTTCTGGGAGAACTGTTAAATGCAAATTTGCGTGCAAATTCGTCGTCAAGTTCTCCAGACAGTAAACAAGTCATTCGAAAATTAAAATAGCCCTGCCCAATCAAACTTCACACTTAGGCTCGTATTTTCTATAAGAGAAAATAATCCGTCACGTGATCTTAAATTATTCTTACACTTTCGGTAATGCACTAGGTAACTGTTAAAAATTCACCTAGCTCCTTTTTTTACATATTAGATAATGAGTTAATCAAAATTTTAATTTCTCAAATCAAGAGTGATTCTAATTATCACGTAATTTCGTACTGTAATGAACTAGAAATAGTCACTGTTACCTGACTAATTGAGAACACAGTTTAACGCATTAATCATCGCTAGGCTTGAATAAAATTAAAATTTGTATACAAATTACTGTTTATATTATGTTAATATAAAATAATATGAAGAAGGTAGAAACCGTTAAATGTATTAATAAGTTCCTCAATCCGATCAAATGACCACATAAAATTACTATACGCTGAACTTCCACTAAAGAAACTGTTTAATAAATCCATTTTATGCAATTTAATGCAATTTAATGCATGAAATTAACTAAAATAATTGCCTACCCTCGACAAATTAATATTGTTATCAAAGTTATTGTTATCTAAAATCCATTAATATATCGCTCAACTCCAAATTACAGTAATGAATATGAAAGGATAAAACGTTGTCTTTCAATCACCCCTAAAAAATAATAAATTCACTAATTGTTACTCGAACGCTAATTTATGGTATCGTTGGGAGCTAAAGAAATAGCCTTGAACGTTTATCATAATGGAAAAGTAAAACTCATATTTAGAATGCTTCAATTAAGGGGAGCTGAATGTGAAAAATTAATTTTTCAAGCATCAATTGCGCCAAACACAAATATGTTTCCCAATAAAAAATTAGAATACTGCGAAATAGCCTTTTGCACAGTACATACATGGAATACGTCAGAAACTCTGAAAAATATACTGAAAACATAAAAAATGAATTATACGAAATGTCCTCTTGTTAATAAAAAAAATTTGCAAAATTTGTCATGTTAACAATAATGACTAAACAGCGGATTTTATATTTTTATGGCATACCACAAGGAAACACGAACTTCAAAAGGGATTAGTAACATTCTTATTCTATTTGCACCTTAATCAACTTAATCGGTAAATAGGATATCGTATTAATATTCGAAGTCTAACGATGACTGTTCATGTGTCTCAGAAAAGTGAAAAACGACGACCGCTACATTTGTTGACTAGACTTTTCAGAACCAAGTTACCTAACGTACCGAAAGCGAAAGACAGTTAGAGTACCGGACAAATGAATTCGGACGCACACCGTTTTTCATTTAGTTTGTTACGGCGACGTCACGAAGCTGCAAGTTTCATTTGCAAGTATAAATTCTTATCTGAAATATGAGTTTCATGAGAACGTTATGCTGTATCTTCATTTCATCCATTATATCTTCATTACGAGGCAAAATTTTGCCAAACATTATAAAACAAAAAATTACAGACGGTCACAATGAACCATCAATATCCATAGTTTCTGAACATGTGGACATCCTACAATAAGCGGTATATTCAATAAGAAAGAACAATTCGTTCAACCAGTTTTCACTTAAAACATACACTACCGCTCATAAGTATCAGAATACAGTAAAACTGGATTCACGCTCGAAACTCGGAAACGCTTTGGAGCAGTTACCGCAGAGGGACACGATTTGTACACTTCCTAAATTGTGTCAATTCATGATCTGCATTTCGGACTGAGCCTTCAGTGTGAAACTCCCCCAGTAGTGGGGTTGAAGCAGAAGCATTTAACGTACAGGTTCTTCCAAGCAGTTATCAAGAATTTATTGTGTCTAATCTATACGAAGGAAATGTGATATTTCGTAAAAATTATATACTAAGGTATCAATAACCTAAGGCCTAAGGGCCACTTTTATTATTTTATAGTGTTATTAGGGTTGTCCACTAAGCTTCAATATCCCCTAAAAAATATTTCTTTAAGACTTTCAGCAATTTTGTAATACCTTCTAGCATTTATTGCATATTCGACAAGTGCCCCAATGGTTATGAGCGGGAGTCTATATCGAAGTGTGGTCGATTTAAGAAAACAACACTTAGGCAAGACAGGCGTCAATTACTTAATGCAATATTAATGGTGTCCCTAATTCAACAGTTAAAGCCCTAGTATATACTACGGCAAAAGGTGTTCATCCGAGAACATTTGTCCGATACAGTAAGCGCGACCGATTAGAAGTCCGAGCCAAAGAACGCGTGTTTAAGAGTGGATCAAGGCTTCCTCTACATGAGCAACAGCAAATCGGAAGTACGCTGAGACGGTTGTTCGCTCTCGGAGGCTGAGAGCAGACGTATCAGCTCCTCCTCTTGATCGGACACGAACCATTCGGACTCCGAGCCGCCGACGTCACTCAGAGGCACCAGCTGCTGGTGTAGCTGCTGTTCTAACACCTATCCGAATCGCCCAGACCAAAAACCGTCAATGAGACTCACATTAAAGTCCACCCGTTCGTGACATAATCTCTCGTTACGTAACCGCGTTAAATCTCATAATCATCATCATCATCATCATCATCATCATCATCATCAACAACAACAAAAGCAAACAGAAAAAAGCCGGAGAGAATTCTCGTTTATCGGGTGAAGCCAAAAATATCGGTACTGCCTCGCGCACAGCCTTCTACACTACGTTCCATCAAGGTAACACAGAGACCAAGTATGTCACACACACGAAAGAAAAAGATGGAGAGAGAAAAAAACAACTGAACGGAGGAGAAAGTGCAAGGTGGACTTTAATATAACGTGTTCATTTGGTCGAGGCGAGTGACGCAGGCACCATTTTTTTTCCAAGGGTTGAAAATAGCTTGTCGAGATCGTCGAATATATAATTGTCGTTCTTTCTTTCTTTCCGATTTTTTAGTGGAATGTCAATGAAAGTCGGTTAGAGGACGAAGTAAACAAAATCTATCAATTAAAGTCCACCCCAAAAAGAAAATAAAGGGGAATTGAGTCAAGTGGTTAAGTGCGAGAATGTCGGATTTTAGTGCGTTAACGGGACAACAGTGAGACACTGTTAGATATGCAATATAAGTGGGATTATACGCTTGCTGCGTCGTTGGTCCCTGTTAATTCGATCGTAGCTGGTGGTTAATGGTATTTAGTCAAGCGTTTCCGAACCGTAATTTATTCATAATCATCGATCATCAATGTTTCTATTATTGTTAAGAATTTGATTGAATTATGGTATTGATCGGTAAAGATCTTTTTTTTAAATGTGAACTGATGTAATTCTAAAATGCGAGCAGAAATTAGAGTTTAATAAAAAAATTGTCGGAACTAGAGCAGAAATTTTAATGTATGAGAATAGACTTTATTTCGACTTATTCCGGTATTGCCAAGGACAATACTCCCTTTACACCTACTATCAATTTTCAAACCTACATTTAATGTCCTTACACGTCTGTAAGGACCCCATTTAAAGTTGGAACAAACCTCATTTAGAAGGTAGAGACATTAGATTTATCTAGAGTAGACTTGACCATTTGAAAATAGAAAGTTCTTCTTGCAATAAAAAATTTTTTTGCCCATAAGGAAAAGTACTTTTCGCTGTAAACATATCCATCCACTTAACGGAACATATTTTACAAGCTTTCCCCTTATACAACACAAAAACTTCTAATTTGGTATATCACTTAAGCCTTAATTAATTCAAGAAAATGTCTTGATCAACTTTTCAAGAATTACACAATTAACAATTGAAATTTCATTAGATCATCGGTTACTTCGAAATAGAAGAATATCATTAAAACAGAACCTTACTGTTAAACCTGTTAAAACTCCAAATTGGGAAACCTACAAAATTACGTTTAGTCACAAACATATGTACCCTCAACAAAGCTCTACTTCCTGATATCTCGACGTTGCCATTCCGTTACAGGCCTCTTCCACTCAAGCGTCTCAGTATCGGTTAATACTAAGCCAACAACCGGGAGATTCTTCGTCCAACATTAAACTGAACGCGACTAAAGCAATGGGGAATAAGATACAGGTATGAAAAAGACAATTACCTTGGCGGACTCTTTCAGGTGAGTCATGCTTGGATCGTTGATAGGTTTCCCGCTGGCTGCTTTGGTGGCGTGTATGAGATCACCGAGAGCAGAGGCCACGTCTTTCACCGCGTTGATCAGCATCACCTGAGCTTCGGGATTCTGGCTACCTAAACTGGCTGCTCCATATTTCACGACTTCAGCGAGTTCGATAATCGTGGACACAGCATTCTGTGCTGCCACGGCCAACTGTTCTTGTGATGAAGCTGCGCCTGCTACCAGTGTCTTGGTGTCCTCGACGAGAGCTTTGGCCGTCTTCAAAATGTTCTCCCTGTGATCGGCAAATGTGTCACCCTCGTTCTCTGCATGCAAAGTTCCAGCGGTGGCGAACATAATCGTGGTGTCCAGGTCACCGATGATCCCTGACACGGTGCTGGCAGCGTTTATGCAAGCTTGCGTGCCTCGGGAGCCAGCTTGGAGGGCAGCCAGCACTTGGGACACTTTCTCTGTGACGTTCTTGCTGTGCTCTGCCACTTCTCTCTGAGCATAAGCGTCACCGGGTGACATTTGACATGTGCCCGCGGCACGAACTATATCAGCGCATGCTCGACCAAGCTCCTGAACACCAGTACGAAGTCTTGCGGACACGTCGGCGTTGGATGCCGCTGCGGAAGCACCGGAAGTGTCGCGAGCTAGTTGGGTGTACTTGTGAGAGATGTCCACTGCGAGGGGACCGAGTCTGGCCACGTCGGTGCTGGATTTCGTTGACTGAAATTGAAAAGAATTGGAAGTTAGTTGGAGTTTAGTTCGGTAACCGTTTTCAGTTTCGGAACGTATCATCCGGAACTTTAGTTTCAAGAGTAGCTCTATTTTTATTCAAGTACACGATTGAGCGAAAAGAGAATTTGCTATTTAATCTCTTACCATTTCCTGTGCCAATCGTGCTATCTCCTTGGCAGCCTCCACCATCCTCGTTTGGTAATCCACATAAAAGTCAACCGTATCAATGGTAGACATTCTGTGATCCTCCAACCTAACCATCGCCCGTGAAATGGTATCGATTAATCCAGTTACGATGCCGTTTGACGTGGAAATAGTCTCCAAAGTATTCTGTAACTCTTGCAGCGCATCCTTCATGGATTCTACAGTTTCATCCACCTCCGCATGGAAGTTGATAGCCTTAGGATTACCGCCGGACTCTTTTGTCACGCATACAAGCTGCAGAGCAGATTCCGCGACTGTTTTCGTTTGATCGAGCAGTACCATTTGTTGTTTCGAGTGCACCATATTCGAGGCAGCACCAATCGCTCCAGAAACCAGAGGCTCGCAGTACAAGGCAATCTGGTTAACAGAATGACCGACATTCTCAGCCTCGTATTTGGCAGCTGTTCGAAGAGGTTCCAGTTTCTCGCGTAATTCACTCGCACTGCTCTCCATCTGGTCCGTGAATCCTTGCACCGTGTTATCCCGTCGCGGCACCAGAGCCTGTGAAACAGCACTAAGAGATCCAGCGTCCAATTCTCTGATCCTGACGGACAATTTCTCAATCGCTGCGTCGCATTCTTTCTGTCCAGGCGCCTTATCTCGAATAGAGGCAACTAAAGACTTAATCGAATCGCTAACACTCTTGCTGTGATTGGCCAACAGCTGCCAAGTTGGAGGATCTTTAGGACTGACAGCCAGACTCTTAGCGGCTCGAACCATAGCACAAGACCCATCAATGATAGCCTTCCCCGCGCTGGTGATAGGTTCTTGGGCAGCTCTGGCAGCGATGGATATCTTAGCAGGGTGACTGGCGAATTCAGGAGACCCAGCGAACGTGCACAGATTATCCACAGCCTCCAGAAGTGGCTTCGTAGCTTCTGCACATTTATCCCTATTGGTTTCAGAGTTATTCTGATCAAGTGCCTTGATCTCCTTGACCAAAACAGACGTAGAATTAGCAACATCCTTGGCCGACTGGACAAAATGTCTCTTGGCGACCGGGTTGCTGGTCTTGTTTGAAGCTTCCCGGCATGCATTGCAGAGAGCACTTGTGTACTTTGCGATCATAGTGGCGGCTGAGAGGACCTGTTGTTCGGAACTTGTTGGATTTCCAAGACTCTGGCAACCGGTGTGGATAGCCTGAGCTGCTCTTAAGAACTGGGCCTGGTCTACGAGGCCTGGTTTCCCAGCAACTGAAGTTGCATCACTCACTCCAGCTAAATAAGCAGCCTGAGCCGCTGCTTCAATTAAACCACAGATCGACGTGGATACTCCTCGAACAGCTACCGAGAACTGTTCGTGTTCTGATTTTTTCGCATGATTGGCTATGCCTGTCATTCCATCGCCAAGGCTCTTGCTCTTCTCCATAACGATTTCGAGGCACTCGAAATATGACGCGTCAGATATAGGCTCGCTAGGATTGTCTAAAAGAGATCGCATCGATTGGATGTTCCTGATCGCGTTGTCGCATTCGTTTTGACCGGGTGCAGCGGACGTGCAGACATCCACGAGGTAATTGATGGAATCGGTCACAGCTCTCGCAGCCGCTGACAGTTGATTCTTTGCGTTCGGTGCGCCGGGATCGGCTGCCACGAATTTTGCGGTCACTAATAATTTGCTTGATGTCATACTGACGTTCTTCAAGGAGACGACCATCTGAGTGCGAGTTTCGATCGTCGTTTGACCGGCCATTTCCATTCCGACACCCAGCAAGTCCCCGAAAGCGTTGGTAAATTGTTTTGAGGAGCTTGCCAGCTGTACTGGAGAACGTACAGATGAGACTACGTTTGATGAAGCATCGTTTAGATTTGCGGCTGCGTTGTTCAAATCGCTTTGGAGTTGTCTATAAATAAAAAATTAGCAGTGTCTTTCATATATGTATTTATTGTATAAGAGATCATTATAATAAAAATTAGTTATCATAAACTTTAGAAGCTGAGAATTATATTGTACGTTTCATTCGAAGTACTTCTTCAATAATGAATTACAGAAGTTAATGGTAATATTTAATTAATTTCTACTAATGAGTCAGCAGTGTATATTGAGTAAAGTACAAAATAATACTTAAGATTGTGGAACGTGCAACAACCGTTTCAATATGTTTTCATGAATGAAAATTATGAGTAAATAGTTCTACATTAAGATAAAATATGCATTCCGCTATTTGCAAGGCAGTATTTGTGCCGATAAGATTAGTTAATGTTTATCTAAAATATTGAAATGTACATTTATGTTCATAAAGGCTAGTTTTTATCAAAGAAATATCTTACAGAAATAGGTGATGGTAAAGAAATTATTCATTAATAACATTTTTCGCTTTCATCAATACGACCTAATATGTATTTTAATATTTTAAGTATTGAACGATTCTAAAACGTTATGTTTTAACACCAAGTACTTAGAGGCATTGTTAACTATGCAGTATTATCTTCCTCTTTTCAAATGTATGTCAGCAAATGGTAATTGAAATACGAAAATTAAGAAGGTAATTATCTATCGCTGCACTACTTGATAACAGTATCCTTATCATAGACAATAAGAAACTCACCCGTAGCTCTTATTGGTTTGCGGGAACTCGTTCATACCCAGCACCTGTGTTATGTCCTCAATGTTCTTGATCGCTTCGTCGACGTCTCTTTGGCCGGGTAAGCAAGAAACGCACTTGTTCAAAGAATTCGACACGTCTTTGGCAACAGCAGCCAAGTTAGCTTCGTTGTCAGGATTATCTGGGCTCTTCAAAGCTCGTCTTGCTTCCTTGACAAGACGCAGAGACTTCAGGATAACATCATCCGCTGTCATCAATACCCTCTTCTGTGTTTCAGGTTGATTCGATGTGGCAGCCACGCCGCGAACAGCATAAGTCAGATCCTTCAAGGCAGACGCTGTCTCTCTGGCTGCACTTCCAGTATAATTCTCGTTTCCTTGTTTGGCAGCAGACAGAAGTTGAGCCATGGCGAATCCAACATTCTTCGACGTGGCACCCAATCGAAGAGCAGTGGACTCTGTTGTTTCCTCAGGCAAAGGTCTCAAAGATGCCGCCTCGACTGCTCTATAAAACTCGCCCAACTCATCCTTAAGGCTGTTAATCAATTCCTCAGCGGCATCCAGCTCCAAACCACCGCAAGCTTCTCTAGCGCGTGTCACTGCTGACCTTAAATCTGTCAAAGACGCACCCAATTGTTGAGAGGTGTTGTTCAACTGCATCGCAGAGGCTTGATCGGTAACGGTTGGCAGAACCGCCCTGGCAGACTTCACCACAGATGTACCAGGCTGTAAGAATTGTTCGGATGCGTTAATCAGATTCAACTGTGCCGTGGGATTATCCGGTTGCGCTTGCGTGCCCTTCACCCCGGCCACCAAATGTGGTATATGTTGCATCATAGTATGACACTCTGCAGTTAGTTCCTCTTGACTAGACGGATTGGTGTTGTGATGTTGAACCCCCGATGCAGCGGCTATGCACTGAGTAGCGGTAGAAGCAGCCTGCTTCGCGCAAGCTTCCAATCTATTGATCAATTTCCTTCTCAATGCCGGAGTGGCTGCAGCAGTGGTTGCAGCTCTGAGTTCTTCGGCAGCTTGACGCAACTGATCCTGCATCTTCGCGTCGTGGGGACTACTGGCGCATTGTCTTGCAGCCTCTACCATTTTTGCGGTGGCGTCGGCTAGTACCTTTGCTGCAGCCAACAATCGACGTTGTTGCTCCGTATCAGTCTGTCTCTCCGCCTCGCCTTTTATAGTTTGAATCAACTGGGCAGTAGCTTGACCGACCACCCTAGCTTGCCTGACCATCTCACCGGCGTCTCCGGTGCTGGCGAACAGTTTGTCCGTAGCTACCAGTATCGTCTCTACCGCTCCTTCTTGGACCGTCTCCTTGGCTCGTTCTCCTCTCGTAGCGGTTTTTATGTGATTCAACAGGTCATTCAGGGTTCTGCTGACTTCGGACGCTGCTGCGCTCAGCTCCTTCAGAAGATTGTCGTCGTTGCAGGTCACGTTGCACACCTCGACCAAGCCTTCGACAGCCTTTGTTACCTCTCTAACTGCGTTCATCAGCTGTGTCTGGCAAGCTGGAGACTGCAACGTCGGTGCCACGACCTTCGCGCAAGCGACCAGCTGTGATGTCGCGAGGGCACACTGAGTGGCAGCGGATATGACGCGATTCTGAGTCGCAGAATCTTCACACGTGGCCGCGATGTTCTTTGCTTTGAGCACCAACGCGGCGGTCGAGTTAGCTACCGCCTTGGCCAGAGCAAGCAGCATGTCTTGAAGCTCGCGGTTCGAGTCGTTTTCTTCTCCAATAGTGGTTAGCACTTGGTGCGAGGCTTCGCCCACGCGGGATGCGGCATTCAGAAGATTTTGTCTCGGCTGAAACGTAGAACAGTGGGTAAAGAGTGTTGAGAGTAGAGTCTCATTGTTGCGTTTGGAACAGTAATATGGCTCTAAATAAAATTAAATGTGAGTGAAGTGTCGTATGCATTTATTAACTCCTGCTGTAATGTAAATAATTGTGTCGTTTGAATGTTTGGGTACATATACTACTTATCTATATTGCGATTAATATATCGTTTGTGTACATTTTTTTTCGTGCCCATTGCTGTACTACGTTTATAATAATGGTTACAAAAATTTTTGAATGCTTACAAAATAATAAAGTATCAGGAAGTTTCTGTTTCATTGAAGAACTACGATTAAGTATAAATACCTCATAAGTAGGATCTATACTGTGAAGGAAATCTTAAATCCTGTATATTACAATATTTTTGGAATTTTCTCTTTTGTTTTTCGTATGGGGACTGTATAACCTATATACCTGTATGTACCCAAACGTTTGATCTCAATTTTCTGTCCAAAGCATGTAACAAACACAAAATTTAAATGAACAAATAACAATGGCTGTATAAATCTTCCATTCAAAAAAGCAGAAAAAGTATTGGTATTACTGCAATATTAAAAAATTAATCAATAAGTGTAAAAATATTTTTAAAAAGCCACCTCTAGTCGATTCTATGCACATTGCTTGAAATCAAAGTACAAACACAATTAATGTTTCAGTGTTTTCCAACTATGTATGAAAATTTTTGGTATTAGTGCTTACGTATTTTTCGTAGATAGAAGACGTTATGTAGAAAGGCTGTACAAAAAGGCATAGTTTAGGATTTTATCTACTTTTATTCAAATTTTGACTGAAACTATCTTAGAGTTCATTATTTTATTATCACTTAAAGCAGCAGTTGCTTTAACAACGTTGATTCTTTACCTTAATACTATTTTCAAATACAACTATTAGTCATTCAAATGTGAGCTTATCAGATAACATATTTTCACACCACTTTTAAGTTCATAATCATGAAAATTTCAATGAACTAAAATCCAGCATATATACACTGAAAAATTCTTATATTGTACTTGAAGTAAATGCGACAGTTACTACAGCAAAAAATTTCGAGAAATTAATTATTAATTATCAGAAGCTAGAAACATTATTCACTTTACTGACTTATAAAAAAAATGATTATACACAACAATTAAAAACATTAAAAATGGACTCTACTGCTTTCCCTTCACTATTTGTTACTTGTCAAGTTACTGCATAATATTCTTACTCGCAGCTTAAAGTACAAACTTCAAATTTAACTATATAATTGTAAAATAATCATTAATTTGATTATAAACATTACGAAATGAATTCCATTCGCTTACATTACTTTTTGATACTTTTTAAGTTACAACCATGGAAAATATTATTATTTTTAAATTAAGGAATCATCTTTAAATTTAGATGCACAATTACAAAATGGGCATTAAACAATTTATTCTATTAGTTCTTTTTTTTTACTTTTTAATATTCCTTTTGTGACAACCAGGGAAAATATCCTTATATCTAAATTAGGGAACCACTTTCAAACTTACATATATAATTGCAAAAAGACGATAAAGTGTTCACTGATACACTCATAAGCATTAAAAAATGAATTCCATTACTTTACTTTACTTTTTGATACTCCTTACGTTACAACCACTTATGAAACCACCTTCAAACCAAACTATACAACTACAAACATTCATAGTTGCCCTAACATCTGAGAAGCTCACAGGTGAAAAAAGAAACACTAATGCTCCCCATCATTTTCGTGATGAAAGTACTCACCTCCTTGTTCTCCGGTTCCGTGGCTTTCAATAAGTCGGAAAACGCCGAGCAAAGTTTTCTCGCCGCGTCCAAGAGCCTGTCTCCGGAAGTGTCGTCGTCCATGAGGGCGGCGATCATCCGGACGCCCTTCGTCATCTCGGGCAGATTAGTGGCGATCGTGGTGATCGCAGCGCCCACCGCGGTGTGATCCACGTGGTCGGCCGGGCCGGATGTCAAGGTGACGACCTGCGCGGTCGCGGCGTTCATCGCCGCGATCTGCGAGCCGACGTTCTGTTTTTGCGTGTCGATGGTCTGCTCGATCCATTTCAGTGAGGCTGGATCGGTCCCCAGTTCAGGGAGCGAGGCCTTGCAGGACAGCTCGGTCTCCGCGATATGGATCACCTCGTGACCAGCGGTAATAGTCGACAGTAAGGCACGTTGTGGTTCGGACAGGACGGATGTGACTTTGGTTTGTTGCACCTGGTTGCGAGGCAGATTATTTTTTATGCTTTCGAAGCTGGTTAATGGGACCTTCTGTAGACTGGTTATTAGTGGTGGGCAGAGATGGGCAAGATTTTGCTAGATAAACTCGAATAAAAGATAATTTATTTTTATTCGTTATTTGAAACTTCGAATAACTTGATTTATCTTTATTCAAAGTTTCGAATAACCCATAAAGATAAATTCATCTTTTATTTGAATCGTTATTTAAATAACTTTTTATCTAGACAATGGCCATCTCTGCGGGGGGGGGCGGGGGGGGGGGGATCAAACTGTTCGAACGTGTTAACACTCAGAAACCACAACCTACCTCAGAATATACAGGGTGTCCCAGTATTGATGATACAACCAGGGAGGAGGTGATTCTACATGAAAAAATAAGTCAAAAATATTCAATAAAATGTTTTCTTCGAGGTTTCGTTTTTGAGAAAATCGACTTTGAAAATCTGCTGGATACAAGTGGCAACTGAATAGGACTTGGATAGCGCGTCTGTTCATTGCATTTCCTTTCTAGTTACTTCCATGGCGAATACACGTGTTTGAGATTAATATTAAAAATCGATTATCTCGAAAACAAAACCTTAAATGAAAAAAGTTTATTGCATATTTTCGACTTATTTTCTTATATTCGTAGAATCATCCCTTCCCCGGTTGTACCATCAATAGTGGGACACCCTGTATAACACCACATTAGTGTGAATTGGGATTTTTAATTTTTGATGATTACGAACTTGAAGAGAATAAAAACAAATTGAACTCATGATATATTTTTTTAGGTACAATTTCTTCAGAATTTCAACGGTAATAATTGCAAAAGTGACAAATAATTTTTTAAATACGAAAATTTGAAAGTGCTATGTTAAGTAGATAGAATGTTACAGTCGAAACAATGTTTCACTGGTGCAAATTCGCACTAGTGTGGTGTCTGCGGGTTAAATATCTCATGAGAAGTTTAAACAATCAAAATCAAGTTTGATCTTGGCGAGGCGTTCAAACTTTTCAAACAGTTTGATGAAATGTTTTAAATTTCGAGCTGGTAGGGTATCGATAAGTATCTGACTGTGAAGACTCTGATACTCCACCACCTCGAATCGCTTGGTCGACGCTCGTGACTCGATGTTTGAAATACTTCAACAAATCGTTGAAAAGTTTACAGCAATTCTAACTTCAAGTTTGAACAGTTTTATGAAATTGTTTGAAACTGTTTGTACAGTTTGAACGCAACTTCAAAATCAAACTCGGATCGGACTATTCAAACTCCTTGTGTTCATACAAGACCAAACATGAATCTACTTGTTCGCGGACCCACCACTACTGGTTATATAAATTCTTAACAGAGTACGGACTATATGCATTTATAACATAGATAATTGTCTAGAACTCGGCGCAGTTGAAAGTTTGACAAAATCCAGTGAAGTTTTTATTTCATTTGAACCCCAATAGAACCCTAAACACGGTTAACAAATTTTTCTCTGACACCGGTTTCTGTAAATGCGTCTATAAAAATCTGTGTCTGCACAAGTATCCGTGATCTAATTGATATACTGTGGATTTTATGCATTTATGTGATATCTGAAAGTGTAAAAGAAGATCAAGTAAAAACTTAATTATGGCTTCATTTTATTTGCGACTATAAGACTTTCGTAACTGAACTGAATTTCTAGTTAATTTTAGGCTACAGAAGATTTGCATATATATCCACAGTTCATTGATTATAACTGTACAATGACAGACACACTAATTATGGACATTTTACGAATTGGAAGTACACAAAATCTAAAAGAATCTCGAAAGGATTACTCGTATGTTTTGAGCAAATTTTTAAGTAACAGCAGACTGAGTGAGTTGAAAAATTTATATTTAACTATTTTCACTATATACATATACTGTATGTATGTGCTTGGCTGTTGCTGTACAGCGAGATGAGTTATGAAATTGGATCGAGTCATAGTGCCTTTTGCTTAAAAACAGAAAAGAATTGGCTGCATAAAAATCAGTATAGTATCACCTTTAGTAGTCTAGAAGAATCAGTTGATATTATTTCGACTGTATACCCAATTACATGACTCACTCAGTATAAGATTCTTTAATCCTTTACGCGGTACCTTAACTCTTTTCAATTTCAAATTTCTCAAAAAATAGATTTTGACGAGAGATGTCCTGTCTCTTTTCGTATATAACGTAGATAAATAATTAACTTAATAAGTATCTTCATTAATGAAAAGGAGGGAATATGAGTACATTTTCTTCCATCTTCTTCAGAAAAATTTAGCAAGACCTAACACTGACAAAAAGAAATAATTTATGTTTTTGGCAACTCAAAAAAAGTTCAGGACCGTAAAAGATTAACCACTCCTTAACCGAATAATTTGAAAAGTGCTACTTAATAATAATTTTCTTGGTGACCAAATCATCAAATGATTCAAGATACAGATAAATTTAGCAATACAGATTTCACTGACTAATAGACATTAATAAGTTACTGTTATAAAGTAACACATAATTATTAAGGTATATAATGTAAATGACAGAAGAACATTATCATACAAAAATATCATTACATTTCAGTGACTTCTGTATTTTCTTGCTAAGAACAGAATAGAATCAAACTAAAGGACAAAAAATAACGTAATTTAGTTAAATTAGTTATTTTTAATTAACCAATTGCACAACAACTGAATTTTTTATCATCGTGTACCTACTCTGTGTCCGTAATAGAAGGCGCCTAGCATGAAAATAAGTTTAACCGTCTATTAGTCGTACAGAAAATTGCTTCAGCACAAAATGAAATCGACTTGACACCGATTTCTGTAACTTAAATGTATCGCCAATATACGCTGCGATCCGTCAAAGAGGCTCAATCTAAGCTACTACTACAGTGGAACCAACGATTAGCTCTTGCTCGCGTGAACGATCAGTGTTTCTCCGTCATTCATAAAATCCTTTAATTATTATATAATTTTAATTTCAATAATGACATACAAACAGCTAAAAATATTGCACACCATAAAATAAACACTTGATTAAGAATACTCGACATTTCGAAAATGTGAGAACGAAATTTTAGATTTTCAGTGTAAAAAAACTAAATCTAAATTTCTAAACTAAACTTCCACCATGAATATCTCAAAAGTTTATCAGTATCTGACCCTACAATGGGGTAGTTTCGTAAACAGAATGACGATGTCTCTACCAGTCTGCAAAGTCTGAACTAAATCGGAGTTCCGAAGAACGTGCACATATCTTGTAAGACGAATCATTGTAAACCAAAGTACCTTATGAATTGTATTATTTCGTTTCTATAGTCTCAGAGGATGAGGTTCGAACTGAACGGCAATCACTCAGATTCGACAGGAGCAGGGGCCTTTTAAGTTTCTCATAATTCTTACCATCGGTGGAGCGTGAGCGATGTTCACCTGGCCACTGACAGTCGTGTACTGAGCACCGCCCATGTGCCCGGTCCCATATGGTCGAGCCCCTATAAATCGTATCATGCAACTAGCCGAGTGATATTTACAAAGATCGATCGTCGCGATCGATTGCAGGACACCGAGCACGCTCAACAAGAAGCTAAATACCCACTAATCGGCTCCGTGATGCGAAGCGACACATTTAGACGGAAAAGCTTTTGAGGCTGACGCCGTATTTCGCGTATATAACGAGGAAACAAAACGCGCGCGCGCGCGTGCGTGTGTGTGTGTGTTTGTGTGTGTGGGGTGTGTGTGTGTGTGTGTGTGTGTGTGTGTGTGTGTGTGTGAAGGTGAAAAAAGATTTGTCCGGTAGTAGATTCTGATAGTCTAACCCCTTGCCCTATAACACAATCGATTATTCGGTTTTCTTTGAGTCGAAGTGAAATGCCATGTTGTTGGCGTTAATATCTAACTTTTACAGTGAAAATACAGTTGCGATAAGTACAAAATTCCTTTTGTTTCTGGGAAACTAGCGACAGCAACGTAATCTTGGAGTCTGTAGACGTCAAGAAAATCGTAAGGCAAGAGATTAAAGCTTCCTCCACTTCAGATCGAATAATTAGGTATACCACTAAGTAATTCACGATAGTTTCAATATGGTGGCAATACATTTTAGATTCAGAATATGTTTACAATCTTCTTTTTAGTCGAGATGACAAAGGATGATGGGAATGAATAACGAATGTTATTAAAATGGGATAGGTATTTGAATTATTTTGAAATGAATAGTAAGTTTCACAAAAAATAGTGGTCTACTTATTGGAACACTTAATATAATGCACGAGCATATCGAGTCATAAAGAGAAGCTTACTTAAAAATATTCTATTTTATATTGTACTTCGTAATATTCTTAAATAAATTTTTTATTATTTATTTCTTTGTACTGATAAAAACGAAGTATTCATTTTCATTTCTGGAGAACTGGTAAAAATAGATCAGAAATTTCTAACTATTTATTACGAATAAGAATGTAAATTTAATAAATACTTTAAAAAAATAATTTCACAGTCGAATATAAGTTTCAGTGAGTAATAAAATTTGAAGTGAATTATATTGAGAAATTATCTATTTGCCAGCAGGAAATCGTAATAATGTGTATTATTTTTATATTTGAAAGTAAGTATACGCTCCAAAACGGTGATTAAAAAATTTTCTTGATATTTATTTTTCAAAAATTGTAACTTTATACTTGTCTCTAATTACGTTAATTCTTCCACTCGTTGTTATATTCTCTAAATGTATATTTGTGACCTTCAGATTTGTTATTAAAATAAGATAAGCGTCTATTCTCACATCGCAGGGATCTTTTCAAACTTGTCAAATTATAATTACAGTATATACAAAATCGACGATATCAATGGCGGACGCCCAATTCCAATTCAAACGTGCAAGGATATTCCTGATAATATTCAGGCAACGCCAAAATACAATGTCTTGTCTCATCTTCGTTAAAAATATTTAGTGATAAAGGTATCACATTAACAATGTACAAAAAATTAGTACGTTCTATTAAGTGTTTCACGTTAGAGGAACTGAACAATTGGATATAACAATTTATTAAGGATTATAGACATTATTATAATTAGCAACAACAGAAGTCCAGAATCAGGAAGTTACATCTACTTGACACAAGACACTGATTTCGGAGAATTTGTGAAAATATTTAAGATTTCTTACCGTCTCCTCCAACTCTCATGACTGCTGGTATAGCGACTGACACGGCTTCCACATTTCCCTTGCCGACGTTACTCGTTTCGTGTTGCATAATTGTTGCTCTATTGAGGAAATACAATTTTATTAATAATTTTGCAACAGAAAAATATGATAAATATTATTATTGTTATAGCAACTAATAATTAAACGTTGTTTTGAAAATTTATTATTAGTAAGATATCGATGCAATTATTTAAAATTATTTACAATAGGCTTATTCTAAAATGATACATTATTCATAAAGATTATACAAATTCTGGAAACAGATCTGATACTTCTTTCTCAAGATAGCGGATGGAGCGGTAACTCAAGACTTCTGAATACCTGAAGTTATATCGAATTATCTTTATTTTTGATTTAGGAAGGAGAAAATCATCATAGAGAACCAAATCGGGTGAATAGGACAACTAAGAAGTACGAGACCTGTTTAAGTCGAAAAGTTGAGAATGACTAGTGAAGTGAAAGTTTTGACTACATATCGCTCACTCCGCCATCTTGAAAAAGAGTCTGCACAGCCGTTGTACACAGTATACATATATTCTCAAAAGAGAATTATGTACAATAATGCATAATAAAAATCACCAATAATATTTCACAAAGAACTTCTTTTTGAATTAACATTAAATCATATTCAAAAACTCAAGACAGAAATCCCATTAACTTTGAAGATCCACGTCTCCTTTTAGCTTCCATATAGCTTCTCTGTCTACGTTTCAAAAACTCTTCCGTGTTCTCAACGAAAATTCCCGAAAGCCTAAATCAATTCCCTAATGTACATTACACAACGTTCAACAACGAAGAAGACATTGACAACGAAAGATCAGCTAGCATCGATAATTGCCTTACCTAGCCTCAATTAACAAAAATTAGCACAAAAAACAAAGGCAAGACTCACTTCAGAGGCGACACACTGTCTTCGACCATAGTGGAGCCTTCGTCTCCCTCGATACCAAAGTGATCCTTGGCCTTCTGCTTCTTTAGGATGATGTCGATGTAACCGGAAATGAGCTGGAGGATCTGCTCGGCCTCGGTGGTCTGCACGCTGTAATACTGATCAGAATAATCGCCGAAATCGAGGGTGAACGTGTTTGGTGAGGCTCCCCAACGTCGGACGGTAGTCAATGGCCAGGTCTTCAGGATTTCTTTTGTTTTTTCGTCGAGTCGCAGGACCGAGTCTTTCGTGACGCCAAGCAGACGTGGCACTAGCTTGTTCTTGCCTTTCATCTTTTCTTTCACCAGGAAGAACGTGACACCATACGTGCTCAATGATCTTGCCGTTTTTGTGTAGAGAACCTTTGCATCGAGCTCGGAAAGGCCTACGTGCTTTTTGTGCTCCGCGAAGATCTTCTTCTCGATGCCTTTTACTTTCAGGTAGGACTGTGGCAGGAATTCCTTAAGACTGTGAGAACAATCTATGTTAAGGATTAATTTAACCAAAGCAATAATGTATTGGAATTGGGCAACAGTATTGGGTCGACTCATAAATATACTAAATAGATCCATTATGCAAATTCATATTTTTCGATTAAGTTAAAGAGATGTCTATATTTGCTTCACTGGACATTTTATTAAAGTAAATTTTATGAATCTATTGTTTTTACAGAAGATTTTATTAACACTAGAATTACCAAACCTGTCAAAATGTCGGATTAAAGAGTTACTATTTTACCATTACTGAAATTATAATGGTGCTTTTAACGGGATTTACGTTGGCTTTGAATTTACTACAGATTTTATATATTCTGTATATTATTGTGTTATATGTATAATTTAATTTAGTATATATTCAATGCTGGTACTTCTAGTGTGAAAATTTACTGAAGTTGTTTTTGTTCTAGGTGGTGGAATACACTGTATGCATAAAATTCATAGTCTAGTCATGGATAATCCGTAGATTTTTCCGTAATACTTTCACACGGTATCTATGTGAAATTCTAATTCATTGTTTAGATAACATCATTGCCAATTATAATGTAATTAATGTAAGTAATTTCAATAAAACCAATTCTAATAAATAATACAAAGTAACCTGCCCCACAAAATGTAAAGGAAAATAATCGATTACTAAAATTAGGCTTTTAAACAAGCAGTAGTTAATATTTTGATATTATCTCGGCAACAAAAGTTTGTGTAAAATAGTCACAAAATCTTTTTCTAATTTTCTGTGAAATTATACATCTACATATTATTTATTAAATAATCTCTTACTCGAGAAAGCCGGGTTTGTGTTTGTCTTCTTTGTGGTCGCCAAATTGAATCTGACATTGTATTCCAGCGAAAGTGCAAGCTTTTTCCTGAGTAACTGGATGCGTGCCGTCTAGGATTGCATCTCTTGCCTGAACGTACAAAAGAGATAATTGCACCGGATCCCGGCTGTCGATATTTTGATCCGAGAAGAAAAACTTCCTCCGCAGCAACACCGTTTCCGACTCGTCTATTCCTTGCTCCCGTAACGTCTTGCTGGGGTCTATCCAATTCACTGCAAAAAAGATATTACATTTTTGTTTCAATGGATAATTAGAAGCAGTACTATATTACAGTAATATTGACTACAAAATAAAAATTATTAAATAGTAATAATAATAGTAGTAAACTTTCAAGCAATGCATGTTTCATCATTATATAGTACTCTTAAATTAAGTTTTATACTCTTAATAATTTTTACTTTTGTACTACGAAACTATAAGAGAATAATTTTCCTTAGCGAAAAAGTTCTTGTTAACAAAGCCTCGGAGAACTTTTTCGCTAAGGAAAAAGTTGTTTCAAATCACCCCGGGAAAACCACCCCTTTCAAGGAATTACATCTATTTTGGGACAGCGTGTATAAATAAATAATAAAAATTTAATAAAATAAATTCAAAATCCTCTAACTATTTTGACATCTGAGATAAAATCAAGATTATTTAGAATCGTTACCCTCGTCGTCGGTCTTCAGTTTCTTCCTCAGCTGATCCATCTTCGCGTCCCGTTCGCCTTTTTCCTCTTTCCGTCTCTTCAGAGTGAGGGTGCCGAAATTGCCCGGTTTTTGGTTCTCGGTCTCTTCGTCGGCCAGCTCCCGCACCAGCGAGTACTCGTCATGATTCGTGATGCCTATCTTTGTACAAATTACTACCATGAGATTGGCGACGGGTTGACTGTCGTCTACAAGCAACGTCTTCAGCGTTCCATCCAGCATGCGCACTCTGAGGGTACGCAGTTTCCGCCGGTACTCGAGAAGATCGCCGTTCCTCAGAATGTAATAATCGAGATTCCGCCCTGGCTCCAGCCAGACTCCTTTCTTGACGTCCTCGTCGGCAAGGAATAGCCCGTAGTCCTTCGCTGAAACGATCAAACGATGACTCCATTGTATTGGTTTGGCGGGCAGGTGATTTCGTTTCTCGCGTATGTAGAATCGACGGAGTGCTTTTAAGTACCAATGGCCTTTGGCTGAATTTTCGATGGGGAAAATCATATTATTGATCAATTATAATGAAGGGAATTAGATTTTTAGTGATACAAAGTATTATTATTTAAAAATTGATGTTTTCTTTTTAATGTCTTGAAACGAAAAAATATTCCCGCCAACTCGATAATTGAAGACAGCAGGGGATAAATATGACCGGTCACATTTTTGGTTTTTATAAAAGAACAGTTTTAAAGTTCAGAACGATCTCGACCAATTCCATGTTACTGAAATTGTGTTTTTTTTGGCTTTGGGATTAATCAATCGTTTGAACGTTAATTGTCGCCCTCATGAATATTTCAAAAATATTGATTGCCGTAACATTAGTTATACCCCTTGTATTTTTACAAAATTTTGTACCTTATCAGGTATCACTCTTTAGGTTACTCTTAAAATGTTATTTAAGTTCTTAATTTGAGTATTTCGTGGACTTATCGCATTATTCCCATGTATACCAATTTTTAAAAGGTTTGTATTTTTAGCCCTTTAAAAGCTAGCCGGGTCAATACGTTCTAAGGTAATTTTTGTTGTCAGTGTCTACTGACTGTGAGACATATGCTCCCAAATTCAAATATTTATCAAAATAAATAAAACGTACAAAGCAAAAGATATATTAGATGTCCAGCAGCCAAAGTAAAAAAATAGACTAAAACTGTACAATGTTCAACCTATAGAATTGGACTCTGTATTAAATGTTTTACACCTCACCATTCATAATATTATAATTAATTACCTTATTCTATCAATCATATGACTTTGTTAACCAGTTCGTAAGACATTCCAATGAATAAACTTATTTCCCAGTTGTTATAGTATTTTCTGTCACCATTGTGACCTACTGAAGCATATCATCCGATTCTACAGGATCAATGGAATTACATATATCATTTTTAAAATTATGCATAACCTATGCTTTTCTTCATATTTGAGTGTATTATACCCTATACTACTATATTATTGAGTTTATCGTTAAAAAAAAATAAATCCGCCTCGGAAGGGTTAAAATACGTAATATTCCTGATATACAAGTATGACTATACTTCCTCTATGTTCACGTTGATAATAAATAGATTGTACGAATTTCCTTATATATTCCACGACATCATCCTCAATATCACGTGTTTTATGGAGAAAAAAAATATATGTGAACCCGTACGTGTCTGCGCGCGTTATCATAGGTCGCTGAATATTTTAGGCAAAAGTAGGAGCTTACGTTGGCCCATGTTACTCGCTTCAGCGAGCTTCTCTCTGATAATACGGCAAGCATCGTAAACGGATGTGCTCGGGTCGAATTGCATCATCTTCGTGGCGTTTTTCTCCGGTATGGAGATACGCAAGGATAGGGTGGCCATTGCGACTGCCTGGGGTGATCTTCTGTGTGCACGAAAACCACTGGAATCACTCGACTGAAACAGAGAAATAAATTCCGTGAGGAGCTTCGAAATTGTTTCACGTTTCGTTCGTGACGTTGCTTCGAGCGATACGCAACACGAACAATGAATAGAAATAAACAGCTGATCGGTAGACTATGGGATCACTGTGCAAATATTATACATCAATCTCCATAAACTATTTTGCAAATATCAAGTTTTATAAGCCATTTTGGAAATCTCAATTTTTGTAAGCCTTTTTGGAAATCTCAATTTTTATAACCCATTTTGAAAATATCAATTTTTATAAGTCATTTGGGAAATGTCAATTTTTAGAAGCCATTTTGAAAACATCAATCTTCAATACCATTTTGGAAAAATCAAACTTCGTAAGCTGTTTTTGAAATATCAATCTTGATAAGTCAGTTTCGAAATATCAACATTTCATAAGCTGTGCAAATTTCAATTTTCGTAAGGTATTTTGCAAAAATGAAAATCACAGAAATACTGATTATAGCAATTACAGGAATTTATTTAGCCAAAATAGAAAAATTTGTAGCAATTTTTGTCGAAGTTTTTATTATTGCATTTTACACGTTAGCTTGTGCTATAAATGTATAAAGTCCATTGTCTATTGAACCGCATTTATATTTGTGTTGTTGTATGTATAGACTTTTTAGAAATGCTGTGCAAGTTCACGGTTTTAGGAATTAATGTAACAAAATGGGAATGTAAAATTAGTGTCCTCCTGGGATACCTAGTCTGTTTGGGTCATACACGAAACTTTTATTGAACATATTGTAGCTTTAGTTTCATAATGTATTGCATCTTCACATTAATATGAAGAAAAAACTAATGGTGCAATGATATATAAATAATTATGCGGGGGGTGTTTGTACAAGCCATGTGCACATTTATAGAACAATTTACAAACACGTTGGTTAAATAGAAATTTATGTTCACTATCAAGTATTCATATTAAATTTAAAACAAAATAAAAAATAAGTCAAATTTATTTGCTTATATATGTAGAACCTAGAGTAGGATTTAATTACATTAATTTATTCAGGAAGTTAGTAAACTAACAAAAATTACTATCAATTATTTATGTTATTAATTTATAACTGTGTTATCTTCTTATTCCTCATACTTAATTTTTATCGTCAATTTTTCTCCTATGTCTATATACTGTATAATTTACAAAACAAATATTTTTCAATTTATTATAGCATTATTATCGCTCGAATAAAATTGTAACTAATATGAATTCTGCTAAAATCCATGACTCTAATATTAAAAAAACAACTAATAGAATAAATTTTCAGTTACATGGTCCTTGAGATAAATAACCAAGGACATTGTACTCTGAAAATTATTGCAAATTAATCCAGTAAATTCTAGTTCCATAAAAATATTTTTCTTGTCACACACATCAAAAGATAACCGGAGCGTTTATTCTCCGTTGTTGAAGTCGATAAATAATAAGAAGCGACGCTCCGGCGATTCGCAGACCGATTCACAGTATTACGAAGAACATAAAGGAGTTTATGCGGATATACGATTTCCAGTTTACTGTTGAATCAAGTGCAACAAGTTGCAACGTATTGGGCATTATGCTCGCTGGAGAGTCACCGGTACTATCTGTGCTCGTAATTGTACCTTATCGTAAAACAAAAGGCATTTCTTGCCGATCCTCTAAATTTGTGATATCTGTTATCCCTCGTTAATTTGGTTTTGCAACGCAATTCGTTCCATTAAAACACCTTCAGTTGGTCGTTTTACTTGAAAATTGCTAGAACAATTTACAGGATGTGCAATGCTGTTTATAAATATTAACATATTGGTGATCGCTGACGAAAAATCTCACTTTCATAGTGTTGGTAATTGGAAATGAGACATTTTTCTTACATAACGATATCTTTCTTACATTGGAATATTATTGGTTTTGTTGTAGTGGATATTTTCAGTTTTGTGTCCGAATTCGATGGACAAATGAATTTTTAGCAAAATTTCATTGATTGCCAATGTGTTAAGATAACTGGCCCATACGAAGAAAATAATGTTTAAAAAAATTATAGGTTTCAGGCTCGTTTTATTACTTTATATGTAAGTGTCGTCAATCGAGCTTCTATGTCCACTAAACCATATTTATTTCAGACATTTAACAATTTTGTAACGCCTTATTATATTTACTTCATATTCAATAACTATTCTAATACGTATGAACAAGAGTGTATATTTATGCTTCGTTATGCATATTTCGTTTGCAAACAGCCCAGTAAAAATTAATCGAACCACTTTTGTTGAATAAATATAATTTAACCTCGTACAAACCACATTGCTTTAAAAACATTATGATACAAACATACAAAAAATGTGTGCATTCTAATTTCATGAACAAGCTGAAAGAATTCAACCAGGGAATGAGATGAAGTCTAAAAAGTTATTAGATATAAAAATACAATAAAAAAGTGAATTCTAATGGCTTGATAATGAATAACTAAATCTTGCAGTAAAAATTAAAGAAAAATTCTGCTTGTTTTCGCTAACAAATAGACAGCAGATTTTATGCATTTATAACATGCAAGAGTATCACAAACCAAATGTATTCAAAAACCTAATAAAATCTACATAATAAGATAATTCTTCCACCTAAAAGCTGATGAAACCGTTAAAAAAATAAATAAATTCATGTCTGATATTCGTATAAAAATTCACTACAACAATAAATAAAATTTAACTAAGTCTTTGTTTCAACTGAAATTCGACGAAACCCTTAAACAAAGTGAACAAATTTCTGTCTGACATTCGCATAAAAATTCACAGCCATTCGAGAAATATTCAGTAAAAGTGTATGCATTGCAAAATACTCAACCAGAAAATTTTAAAAATTGCAAAAACAACATCGAAGATTATTTTTCCATCATTTCCTCCTATTTTTCTGAAACCAGGCAGAGCAACGGATTAAAAATATCTCGCTATCGGATGAAAGGGGAAGTCACCGTGGAACTTCTGTCTATAGTATATTGATCTTCCGTGGTATGATACATTTGCCATAGCATTTGCCACAGTGTGCAGCATGGGATTCACGGAGGACATGAGCCTAGAACCCACCCCCGTCACGGGGTATTTCCTGCTAATAAAAATAAATTGTGATCAGCGTCGTACGTAATTAAATCGATCCGAGGAAACGAGTCCTCTCATTTGCGCTCTGCGGGACGCCGAAACTCCACCATCGAGCTTCATTTGCATCAACGAGTTACGAATGATCCCCGAGTGTCGAGCAAATAAATTACCGTAATGAAAAAGAGTCGACAAGCCTAATTGCTAGACTCGGTAGTTGCCTTTATTTGTAGGAACATTTTATTTTATTCTTTGACAAAAGTTACGATTCGTAGCGTGATAGACTTACAAAATAAAGGCACTTATGTTCTTGCTGCCTAAGAGGCTTGTAAAGTTATTATTTTTAAATTAAATTAGAAAATTGTTGTACAACCGGGTTGGATTAAATTTCACGCAGAAACTCTGTTACTGTTTATTTTTGTTTAGTGATATATTAGGTGTAATCGGAAGCAAACCGCTATTTTCTTATATTATTATGAGCTGTATTTTAAGTTGAAAATATTTTCGTGAATTTTCACTGAACAATAATGGTATGGGATGTCGAGAAAATATTACGAATATAAATGAAACAGTATACATCTTTAATTTCCATAAGAAAGAATGCTGGTTTCGTTTTGAAATAGTAGATTATTTATTGGTACACCTAATATATTTTATTTATTAATTAATTCTTTCACTTTGCACGGACTTTTTCAATCGCGTAAAGTGTCAAAACTCGTTTCTTTAAAAATTTATTTTAAAATTCAGTATAGCGTATATTACTGATTTATAAAATATTGTTCTCTTTATCAAACTTCGTCTACATTTTATTCAAAATATCTTCCAATACTACACATTATTAAAGAGTAATAAAGGAAAATATTCTATTTAAAATTATTCTTTCACCAGTAATCAATATCAAATTGCTATAAATAAAATTTTACTCTTAGTATATCAATAAATTTCGTTGCAACTTCGTTTACGAAAAAAAGTTGGTTTATTATGTATGTAGCAATTAAAAAAATCAATAACGTCCTTCACATATTGTACACAAATTTTTTCAAGTCAAAAACAGCTTGTTCTTCAATCCTGAACATCGTGTAACATATAATTTTTTCATGAAACACGATTTTCATTTGAAAATTGAATGCTATTTCATGGATTCGTGGTGGCTTGACGCTGTTTTATAAAAAGGAATTCCACGCGAGAATGGAAAGACCAAGCCGGTTATGTTAATTAGAAACTTAATTAATTACAAAGTTTCGTTCTTGATGAAATAGTTCGGCCAAAGGAGAAACACATTACACTAACCACATCCCGCGGACTGTAATTCTGTTAAGAAGCAGAAACTAAGAGCGGATTAAGGAATCTGATATTAAGCAGGGTTTACATGAATTCTAATGCAACTTCAAATCCAATTCTCACATGAAACAGCTGAATCTAGCTGGACATTAATTTATGCCTCTCAGAAAACAAATTGATTAACGCTATCAAATAAATAAAAAATCAAGGATAACATAAGTAATACATTTATCAATTTAGCTTAGAATGTAGGTTGAAACAAGTAGTACAGAGTAAATATTTTAGACGTAAATGAATTTGAAAATTCTTAATGAGAAGGGCTAAAATTGTGAAATTAGAAAAGAATGCAGTTCATTGGCGATTTTTTTATTATTACATTGCATTTATAATAAAGTTGTATGATTTGTATATAGATTAATTGCTTTTAAATTAAGAATTCAAAAAAATAGTTCTGATTAAGAAAGTAAATTTTTAAGAAAATATGTAATGTAGACTTATTTCCATTTGTACCATAAAATTCGTGAAATATCGACCTAAGTAGTGCAAAGAAATAAATCGCAAATTGAAATACATGCTATCATAGTAATCCACATTTTATCACTAATGTCGCACTAGCACTTTTTATTACAGAC